AAAAAAAAAAAAAAAAAAACCAACTCATGGCCTGATGATGTGAAACATCCTTCTTAAATATCCAACCATTTTCAGTCAGGTCATCTGGACAGGAAGAGGGCTGGCACCGGAGGAGGGGGCGTGCCAAAGACACCATCTTAGCACCAACATAACTGGTTTGTTCCACTTTGGAGTAAGCTGTTGGGGGAAGAATCAGTTTTGTGTTGTGTGTTTCCTTGACTGATGAAGCCTTCTGGATGGAAGGTGAAACATTTCAGCACACAAAAAGAAACTGTCCAGATGACCTGACTGAAAATTGTTGGATTGCATACCTGGATTATTGAGCATGGACTTTGTTGGCCTTCTTTAACATGTTTCCTTTAATTGGGCTCACCTGACAAACTAATGATCTCAGGTGTCTGAGCGATCCAAAGAGCCCCGAGACACAGTACTATTCACAAGTAAATGAAATACAAAAAAACTAAATCTGTATGGCACATAAATCCAATTTGCATTATAATTTGGAACATTGTGTGAAGCTCACATTCGCATTTTGAGCTCTTACAAAACAGCAGGATTACAATTTACAATTGGGACTTTACTCCTCTTTCTTTATTTATTATTTAAAGCCCAGCGCTTTCTTGGCTCCACAGAAAAGGGGAGAAACTTGAGAAAGAAAAGGAGGAGGACTTGATGAGGGCAGATATTCATGTGGGAACACGGGCTGGATTTATGCGTGCGAAGGAGAACAGCATGATGGTTGCAGCGTGTTCAGATGACAAGAGGCGAAGAAAGGGTGAATAATGATTTAATTCTCTATTTAATACACAAACAAAAGAGCGTTTTTGTTGATCGGTGCAACAAGAGGGAAAATATGGGCCGTGTATTCATCAGGGACAATAAAGTCGTTATTGCTCGGCCGTGGGGTTTCGTTTCTGCTTTAAAGAGCCTGTTGGTCAACAAGTGTGAACTTGTTTTAGAGAACTGCTGAAGTTGCACCGGGGGAGATACGTGAAGGAAGATTCTGTGTTCCAGCTGAGTTACTTCAAATAGCCTTTTGGTAAATAGTTCGTCAAATTTATTTGCAATAACACTTAAAAGTTGTAGAATGTGGTCGGTGAAGAGCTGATACTGCAGGCGAGGGGTGTCGGTGTGTTTTTATGAGAATATAAAAGAAATATTTCTGTTCAGAGTATAAAGACTGAAACAGAAAATGACTGTGTTAAGTTACTCTGTTCACCTTCTATCAGTTTGTGTACTGCCGGCAGACTGATGAGGATCATGGTACGCTTGCTTTCACCACAAAAGTACATTTCTCATATGAGCAGGTCCTCTCACCTTACCTGCTAAACTTGTTAATTATTTAGTTGTTTTTGACCTGTGAGTTTTGGTCTTAAACTAAGACAGATTAAACCATTATACTGCACATATGTAGAAACATGTTCATGGAACATTTGCACTTTATAAGCAGACAAATTCCAAAGAACCAAATAAATATTTGTTTGATAGCAGCACATACATGACATGTTTTTGTTTTTTTTTTAATCTCTTGACGCATCACCTTTATCTTTGATGTTTTTAGTATAATGGCTTCAGAATTAGTCAGTTTTAAAATAAAAGTATCTGCTGTGTAATATACTGCTTTTTATCATTAAAGGTTAGCTCTTTAAATGTTAATTTGGTTTATTTGTCTGTTAGAGTTTAGGTTGCAGCTCAAATCTGTTCATTGGTAAATTTGAAATAAAATAATACAAATGTAAATATTTTCTTCCCACGTAAGAATCAACTGTTTTAAGCATCTTTTTATTCATTAAAAACGTTTAAGTGACTAAAATATGTTGAAAATACAAGCAGCATATAGCAACACTGGAGTTTCCAGTTTAAAAAGCATTTTAATAATTTCCTAAACACATTTGCAGTTATGTAAGATTTTATCATTACAATCAAAAGCAAAGCAACAACTTTTCACTTTAATAAAAACGAGCTGTATATTATTAGAAAAACTTAACCACAGATTAACTTTCTAAAAATGTTTTTTAAAGATTGTATATTGCCTTTTGTGCCACAGATTTGACCTAAAATCCATCTTTAAAATCCATCTAGTAGTTTATGAGAAATATTAACACTACAGATAAACAAGCACACACACAAGCAAAAATATGATCACGTCTGCCGTCAGCCGTGTGATAAAAGAACACATCTGATACATAACGGCTTGAATTTATCAATCATTTGAACACCAGCACAGTACATTAAATACAATATTTCATGATGCTGTATAAAAATGCTGCACATCTTGTATTTCATGGACAATATTTACAGAATTGTTCCTGTTGTGTAAAATGAGCAAAGTTATTTCAGCTGAGCATGGACGTAGAACAGACCAGCTGCCTGCTCTGTTTGCACAACACAACAATCCTCTGTCTTGGATGAAAAGGACAATGGAGACAAGAACCCGTTTGTCCAACTTGTCCTCCGCCCAGAGTTGGTTCTTTCATCTTCTCCAACTATTGTTTTCAGGGTTTTATTCAAACTTCAGTGTTCTAAAGGTCTAAAAATATGAAATTAGAATATTGTTGTTTTTTTATTGGTGCACAAACTTGACTTGATTTAAAATAAAAAAAATCTAATATTTGTGATCTGTGCTGGAAAAAACTTATCACAATGAAGAAACAGTTATTTTAAAACTAATTTTTAAAGCTTTAAAACAATATATAGTTTTCTAAAATGTATTAATTTATTACTCTGCCTGGCAGCAAGTCATTTCTGTTCGTGAGTGCCTGTTTAAAAATATAGATTTTTATTGGTCTAGAGTGATTTCACCCAAATCCAAGCCTTTAATAAAAAGAATGCCTAAACTTTGCAATTAGGCCAAACATTATACAAAGGGATTTCCCAGCACTAAGGCAGCCAGCAGAACAAACTTGTCGATTTCAAAAGTAATTACCATATAGGTCTTATGACATATAGCAAAAACAAACGTTTTGTCGTTGTTTCCGTTGCAGCCTGAGCTCTTTCCAACTCATTTTTCCAGGATACGTGACATTCTTATACGCCGTCGAAAGCGGGAGGTGTTGTGGTGCAGTCTCAGTCCGTCTGTCTGCCCATCTGTACATCCTTAAACTTTCTCTTGTCCTGCCCATAACTTCTGATCGGCTTAAGATAATTAAATGTGATACACATTTTCACAGAGCATCGTGTAAACTTTTCATCACCTCAACTTCAAGGTCAAGGTCACAAATCAAGGTTACGCAAGTTCTTTGCTTGTCTGGGCCATTGCTATGTATTGCTGTAAAATAGTTCTTCAACAGGTGTATAATGTGCCATATTCTTGTTTAGTCATATTTTTCTTTCTCGGCATTCTAACTTTTCTATTTTGCGCTCATCCTCCGTTATGCCCTTGGCTGATTTTCCTCCTTTATTCTCAGATGGTCGTAGGTTTCATACCCAGCCTTTACCTGACTCAGAGGATGAGGTGGAAACTTCCATGAGCTCGTTTCAAATCACCGCTCGAGGCTTACCGCTGGCCTTGGCGTCTATGACACAGACTGTATCCTCAGATCTGCGCTTCCAGCCCAGATGGAGAGCAATAACTGTGACCATCCTGCTGGTTTTAGTGCTCATGTTATATCTGCACCGGACAGTAGGGGACAGAAAATCCCCAACCAAAGGCTACTACCGGAGCAGGCTTCAGAATGTTCACATTCCCAGTGAGGCTGAGAATGACGTCTTCAGGGACACTGATGGGACCAATCAACAAAGACTCATTCGGTGTCAAAACGGAGAAAAACCTTACAATGACACATATCCATTAAGTCCTCAAGAGAAGACATGGGATGGCGTTCGCTACCGTATAGGAGTTATTGCAGATCTGGACACAGCGTCACGAAGCTCCAAGGATCAGACGTGGTTTAGCTACATGAAACGAGGTTACCTGACCATCTCCGATAGCACTGACAGACTGAAGGTGGAATGGGATGCTGAAGCCGTCATGCTGGAGAGCAATCTGGCTGAGAAAGGACGAGGTATGAGGCTTTAAATCAATCTGTTCATCCAGGTTAATGTGGGATCTAATGGCCTGATTACCTCTGCTGCAGGTATGGAGCTGTCGGAGCTGGTGGCGTTTAACGGTCACCTGTACAGTGTAGATGACCGTACAGGTGTGGTGTACAGGATTCAGGGGAGCCGAGTCATTCCCTGGGTAATATTACCTGATGGAGATGGCTCAGTCTCTAAAGGTCAGTCTTTAAGATCCAGAATTATGACCTGAGAAGCTATCTAACTAGCATGATTCAGCAAAGTATTTTACTTAAGAAAAAAAACTAAAGATCATCGTAAACAGGAAAAGGATTAATTTGCATTTTGATTGTGCAGGATTCAAGGCCGAGTGGCTCGCAGTGAAGGATGAGCACCTGTTCGTCGGAGGCCTGGGGAAGGAGTGGACGACGACGTCCGGGGAGGTCGTCAACAACAACCCAGAGTGGGTGAAAGTTGTTGGTTACAACGGCGAGGTGCAGCATGAAAACTGGGTGCCCAACTACAACGCCCTGCGGAGTGCTGCAGGCATCGAACCACCAGGTACAGAGTACAGTTTTTAAGACCTTTTTCTGACACTCATTTCATAAAAAATAAAACACTATGATCTAGCCTTGCTTTCCAACACTGAACTGGATGATTTACAGATTTGAAACAAAGTTAGACGTCAAGGTTCATGTTCAATAATCCAGGTAAAAAAAAAATCCAACAATGTTCAGTCAGGTCATCTGGACGGTTTCTTTTTTTTGTTTTTGTTGAATGACGTTTTGTCTTTCATCAAAAGGACTTCATCAGTCTGATGAGTCACAAACTGTGTCCCACAAGCAGCACACTCCCATAGTGGACCAACCAGTTTGCTGTTGATAAGATGGTTTCTGGGGGCCGCCCTCTCCCCCGTCGACTCCTCCCAGGCTGCCCCAATGAAAGTGGTTCAAAACATGATGATGTTATGAAGTCCTTTGGATGAAGCACAAAATATATTTCAACAAAAATAAAGAAACTGTCCAGATGACCTGACTGAACATTGTTGGATTTTTTTTTTAACCTGGATTACTGAGCATGAACCTTGATGTTTTGAACCACTTTGGCTGTGGCTGCCTGGGAGGTGTCGACAGGGGAGAGGGCAGGCCCCAGAAACCATCTTATCACAGCAAACTGGTTGGTCCACTATGGGAGTGTGCTGCTTGTGGGACACAGTTTATGGCTCATCAGACTGATGAAGTCCTTTGGATGAAGGACAAAACGTCACTCAACAACAAAAAAAGAAACCGTCCAGATGACCTGACTGAACATTGTTGGGTAAAGTTAGACTGTTTTTGCTTTTGCTTAGAGGATTTTTAAACCTTTAAAACAGTAACACATAAAAGTAAATTCTTGTTGGAGCCATCCATGCTTTAATAATAAAACATCATTATCATTGTCGTTTACAAATTCACTCTGTGGGTCTGTATTTTAACCAGCTTGTCATTTTCAGCTGCTGCAGCTGTTTCTAAACGGAGATTATATTTCTTAAGTACTCATTTATTTTGGATTATGCTTGATTCTTGTTGAATACAGAGCTTTACATCCACGTTTATTAGTCACCTCATCACACCCCCTTTACACAAGACTCATGGCCGGAATTACAGTTTCACTTAACCATTTCACAGCTATTATTGTAATATATCTATATGCAAAGTTTTAATTGACAGGATTAAAGAAGACAAATAATTTTAGAAAAGTCCCCTGCAAAAGTTGGTAAATGGAGCCGTTTAACAGCTGCAAAATAAACAGTCAGTCCCATCACTTTGAACGTTTTTGCTGAAAATTGGACAGTTGTATGATTTTCAAGTTTACACAAAAGTCTCACTCCACATGTGGATAGGACGCAAAGTTTGAGTCAGTAGGAAGTTTTTCAGTAAATCTATAAATTGTACCTCAAGGAGAAAAGAGGACTATCAGACATTTCTGTTATCTTTCCTACAGGCTACCTTATCCATGAATCAGCAGCTTGGAGCAAGCGTCACCAGCGGTGGTTTTTCCTACCTCGCCGTGCCAGTCACGAGCACTACGAAGAGACGGCAGACGAGCGGCGTGCCACCAACCTCCTCCTGTCCTGCCCCGCAGACTTCAGCCACATAACCACGCAGCGTGTCGGGCCATTAAACCTCGCCCACGGCTTCTCTTCATTTAGATTTGTTCCAAACACGGACGATCAGATCATCTTGGCTCTAAAGTCAGAGGAGGACGCCGGCAGGATTGCCACGTACATCATTGGTTTTACACTGGACGGTCGGCTGCTGCTGCCCGAGACAAAGATAGGAGACGTAAAGTACGAAGGGTTGGAGTTTATCTGAAAGTGGCACAGTTAAATTTTTTAAAACTTATTTAAATAATGATAATAAAGTCAGGTGTTTTATTCTATCAGTTTTATGTAAGACGTGACCAAAAATGATAAATTTCACACTGAAATTAAAAAACGCTGCTAATGACGCACAACAGTTACTCCCAGGCAGCCATCACCCGTTTTAAGTCCTGACTACTCCTTACATTTCTTTTTAAATTCTGAATGGGAAAGCTTGGTTAGTTAAACTGATCAAAACACAGAAACCAAAAATGAGGGACAGTAAAAATGTATTTTAAACGGAAACGTTAAGTCGTTCCTGCTTTTGCTTAATCCATTTTAGAGCTGGGGTCGAAAAAAGTCAAGGGTGTTGCATGAGCTTTATTTTATATAGTTTTAATTAGATTTAACCTTAATTTAACTGTCCCAACAATAGATTTACAAAAAATAAAAGTTCTTGGGTTCCTGCTGGGACTTCAACATGAACAGTGTCACCTGACCTGAAGAGGAACACATTTAATGTTTCTTCTTTTAAGATTTCTTCTGTTTAACAGAATTAATATTTTGTACCGAAGACTGTAAAAACCTTATATTTTTGTGATTTAAATATGCAAGCATTGATCCATTTAAAAATTTGGACACACTGCCTCTACTGGATTTCATTTTACTGGATTTTTTTTTTAACATTACTGAACTTTTGTTTGACCAAACTTTGATATTTCAATTGGGTTTGCTTTTCTGACTCCCGTTGCCTTTACTCCCGTTTAAAATGGGTTGCTGATATAAGCATTTCTTAAAAAATAAACTTGAAACATCTCAAAATGTCAAACGTTTCATCAGTTTCATATACCAGTAATTCTTAAATACACTTCTGTTTTGTGCAGCATTTAGGTTATGGTTAATTTAAAATAAGTTTCTGTAGAAACTTCTGTAAATTTGTGTCCGTCTGCCTGCCAGACACGCAAAGAAATGTTATTGCAATACTTCAGATCCTACATAAGTGTCATAATTTGTATTTTGATTAGACACACTGAGCGTCATTTTTGTATGCATTGGTTGCACTTTGTTTACATCAAGCAGCCACAACATTAAAACCACCAGTTGAGGTGATAAATGAAGATTATCTTACTACACTGCAGTCCAGCTGTGGCCTTTTTTCTTTGAAATTAAACCCCATATAAATTTGATTCTCACGTTTCAGAACATGCAAACTCCACCCAGAAAGGCTCCCGGACCGGGATTTGAACCAGGGACCTGCTCGCTGAGATTAATTTAAGATTATTTTTCATCTATAATATAAAATATTAATTACAATTGTTTGAGTGTCAAGTTAATGAGTTTGTGTACAATAAAACTGCATGGTGTCACATTTTATTATGTAAAGCATTACACTCCTTTAAAAAAATCAATATATTTGACATACAATCATTCCCACATACGACGCACTTCACGTTCTGTTGATTGGCTGCATTGGAACAAGATTCACACAAAACCTGATACAATCTGTCAAAACAAAGAGTCTGAAATTGATTAAAGTGCCTCAAAGACGGCAATTATTTCCCCAGGTTCAAAATACATTTTTGATTGGTGGAAAGGTTGTTTAGAGGCTTGTTGCCATGACGATGACACCGTGAGGTAGACCGTCTATCTGGATGGGTTTGAAGGAGCCGAGTTTAGAGTAGAAGTCGAGCATCCTCCGGTCGCCCTGCCTCAACTCACAGAACGCTCCTCTGGACCCTGAAGGACAAACACACACTGAGCCTTTGTTCAGAATATCAGATGAATAAAGAACATCTCAAACAATTGGCTTAACTTCAAATTAGCAACTTTTAGGACAAACAGGCTTTAAATGATTATTATACTGCTTTGATTAGCAGTACAGCTGCACAGCTCCCCTTGTGGTGAATATGAACCTCATAAACCCAAAGTTTATAAAAGTTAAATGAGCAGCATCAACATTTTTATTTCCAGTAAGGCCTCGTCTCGACCTACCGCTGCTGCGGACGGACGACAAGAGCTGACCGATCATGCGCTTGGCTGGAGATGGATCAGTGACCCGGGGAAGCACTTGCAAAGCAACCAAGGAGGGGAAATCTACAAACATCGAGTCCCTTACTGCTCTCTGAAACAACAGATGACCTTGAGTCGTGATTCAGCGTTTCATGCTGGTGCTTAATTACAGAAAACAATAAAATCTTGCATTTTCATCACCTGAATCTTGGCTGCAGCTGGTTTGGCATCAGCGAGCGCCAAAGCACACCCACAAATTCCAAATTCATCTTCAAGAACAAAAGCGCACTGAGGCGAGGGGGGGATTTCACCTGCTGACAGGCTGCAGTGTGGGAATATGTAAGAGTAAAGCAAGAAAGAATGCAAAAATATTCGTGAAAAAATTAAGTTTTTAGGTGTTGAGCCATCTTAAATTCTCTAAAATGCTAAAAAATATGAGCTTTAAGTACTTCTTTTATCATTTCCTTTATTCTATAAAATCTTAAAAACAAGTTAAACATATTTCTTACAGCTGTACCGTTAAAAACAAAGTTTGTACATTTTTGCTCATTAAAAATCATCTAATAATAAAATAGTCAGTGTGTGCACTGCTGAACCGGCAATGGAAAAACGAGTTTGTAGATTTTTTTAATTTTTTTATTTCTTAAAGCTTACAAACCCTTACAATAAGGCCATAATATGATGTAGATGATAAAAGCATAATGAAACGACTTGATAAGTACCAGATGTGCTTTTCAATGTTTATGCCCATGTCTGTGTGTGAACTTAAGTCTCCCCCCCCCCCACACACTATTTGTACCGTTTCTTACCAATCACTGAGAAGTACAGGCTGCGTAAGAGAGCTTTGTTCTTTTCCTTCTTGTTGCATTTCTTCAAAAATCTTCTGCACCTCAGTCTAAGACAGAAAAATAATTTTATACAACAATATCCTCTCTGACCTTTGGCCAAAAAGGTCAAAAGGTGACCCACAGGGTTCTCACCTTGTCCTCCTGGCTGTATGACCGTATGCAGTAAACCTGCGTCATAGGAGGGTCTTTGAAAAGGTCCTTGTTCCCATGTCCTGGCAGCATTCTCTGCAAACAAAGATAGCACATGCATTTTATTAGTAGATGAGAGGGTTTGTAATATGACATTTATCAGCATGTACAGATTTTTTTCTTATTAAGAAATTACTACATCAGTACCTGGAACTCCCCAGAGAGGCCTCCTCTGAAGCCCCAGGGTTCAGGATCGTCACTCATCAACAGACAGGAGGGTTGGCTCTGCCCACCTGTGGGGAGAAAATTAAAATAAACTAGAGAAATTGCATTTCGTGCGAAAATGCAGTGTGAATGCTTATTGCTAAATAACTTGCTGAAAAACAGCTGAAATTAACTTAAAAAAAAAATGCTGAATTGTGGCTGAAATGAAAGAACAAGCCTTAATTGGAGAAGAAAAGTAGAAAGAACACATTTTGCTGCATTATGTATAAATTAGCAGAAATTAGCACAAAAATTAGGAAATTAGCTAAAAAAAGGCTGAAATTAGAAAAAAAAAAAATAGCTGAAAAGTAGCTGAAGTCAAAAAGAAGCTTAAACTATCAGAAGGAAGCAAAGAGTTGAAATAAGCTAAAAATGTGGAATTAGCTGAAAAGGCTAAAATTAGCATAAAACAGCTAAATAGTAGCTGAAATATTAGCAAAAGCTGAAAATAGCAAAAAGAAGTTAAAAAAAAAAAGGTGGCAGCACGGTGGCGCAACTGGTAGAGCTGCTGCCTCTCAGCACGCAGGTCCCTCGTTCAAATCCTGGTCCGGGGGCCTTTCTGTGTGGAGTTTGCATGTTCTCTCCGTGCATGTGTGGGTTTTCTCCGGGTACTCTGGTTTCCTCCCACAGACCAAAAACATGCATGTTAGGCTGATTGATAACTCTAAATTGTCCCTAGGTGTGAGTGAGAGAGTGAATGGTTGCTTGTCTCGTTTGTCTCCATGTTTCCCTTTGATGGACCAGCGACCCGTCCAGGGTGTACCACGCCCCTCGCACAGTGATTGCTGGACATGAGCACCAGCGACCCCCGTGACCCAAAAATGGAAGAAGCGGAGCACCAGCGACCACCGTGACCCAAAAATGGAAGAAGCGGGAAAAAGATGATGGATGGAAGTTAGAAAAAGCACAAATGTTCTAGTTAGCAGAAAGAAGGTGAAAGGAGCACAAAACGGTTGAAAGGCCACCCAGCTGAAATTAGCTGAAAAATGTTTAAATTTGCACATGAAGCTGAAAGAAGCTGAAGCAGAACAAAATGTGAAAGGAGCAGTAAAAGGTTATAAACAGATCTAAAGATCTAAAGGATGTAAAATGAGCTCAATTCATTTTCTGAGGAAAAAAAAGTGGCTGAAAAGGCTAAATATTTCAAAAAGCTAAAGTTGCACAAACACAAAGTCTTAGCAGGATTGTGCTGAACGAGCTGAACGTTTTGATTTATGTCCTGATGCATGCTCAATAATCCAGGTAGAGAAATCTAAAAAATAAAAAAAATAAAAGATAATAATAAAATTGTAGAAACGTTTCGTCTTTCATCCGAAAGACTTCCTCATTCTGAGGTGCTGTATTCAGCTCAGTCTTATAAATACTAACTTCTCATAGTGGATCAACCAGTTTTGCTGCTGACAACCAAAACCAGCTGCTCACATGATCAAGGAGGACCATCAGCCTAACGATGGATCATTAGCACACCGATTTTTATATCAGTTTTGATTTAGGATTTGCTGAAAACTGCAGGACGAGAACTGCACCGAAAATCGTATGGAAGCAAAATGGATCACAATAGTGTGCTTCAGCTTCAGACAGCAACACTATTTACGGTACATAGAAATACTGACATCATTTTATCTTTCTGGTTATCATTTATCGTCTGTGTGGATTTTAGACCTGGGTTTTTTGAGCTGTAGCATTTGATGCTTTCTGTCAGAGGAGAGCTCCCACGCAGGTGTCAAAATACAGCTCTAGAATTTTACTGAAACTAAAACTGAGAAGGATTGGAGACACACACAACTCTAGGACTATTCCGAGAAAATTTGTTGCAAGAATTTTTTGAACATATTTGAAATTTATGCGACGAGTCTGCAAAGTCTGCAAATTACACAAGGAAAGTGAAACTACCCACAAACATTTTAAGACCCTTCAGAGACTCTCCTTGATTGCTGTTTGCTAAATAGTCGCCAACAATGGCAGCGCAGTGACCTTGCTGTCATTCATCGTGTCTCCACAGGTAGCACACTCAGTTCAAGTTAACTCATCATAGTTTACTGATATAATCTGTTCTGTCAGTGTTCTTCATTTGTCTGCATTCTTGATTTGCATTATTTTTCCTGCAGACGGATCGTCCAGACGGTTTTCTCACCGAGCGTTTTCACGTAGGCTCGTGCCAGACCGACCCCGCTCTTGATGTCACAGATGTAGTTGTACAGGTCGTACAGCACCCTGCGGTTTGGGGCGTTCGAGAGACGGTTGAACATCTGCACCACGTCTTCACATCTGTTGTCGAACTGCTGCGCCTTGGAGCGCCACTCTTCTGTCTGCGAAGCACCGCTTAAGTGAGGGATTTGTGAGGACAACGTTAAAATGCTTTGTGAAAAGAAAGAAGTACCGTTACCTCATCTGTTTGTGCAGCAGCAGCCTGTCTGTGGTTTTTCAGCCAGTTCAGCTCCTCCAACATGTTCCTGGCTGTGGACCCGTACTCGTAAGGCAAGTAGAAGAGGTCTGACAGCAGCATCAGGTCGTCCAGCGTCAGGGGCTCGGCCGTGTACAACGGGTTCTCTCCTGGGCCAGGAATGTAGGGGTTCTCGTCCACGTCTGTCTGCATGGGCTCCTCATCTGAAGTCTCTTTCTTTAGGCGAGCTGGACGACACGGACCTGAAAGCACAAACCATTTTATTCCTCCTGCCTGTTTCTGAGTTTTAGGATATTAAATAAGCTTTCAGAGCGCCCCACCTCTTTGCTGATCTGGTCTCATGAACTCCTGCAGCCAGTCGGTGAGGGCCAGCGTCAGGGCCTTCTGGGGGCTGTAGCCGGGGTCCGACTCTTCTTCACCTGGTGTCAGAAGCAGAAAATGGTTTTTAAGCTCACAACAAACTCAAAAGTCAAATTATAAATCTTTTTTTATGCGATAAATAAATCTTTAATGCGTTTGCCCATGTCTACTCGTGTGCGTGCGTGTTAAAATATCTCATGAACCACTGAGCAAAATTTTATAAAACTTAAATCACAAGCAAAAAAATAAATAAATAAAAATGTCAAGGTAAATAAAATACAACCTTCTATCTTGAGGGAACACGGACACTTATCTTGAGATCATGAAACAATAAAGCGTTATGACGACAAAACCTTGGTTATCACGATGAGATCATTTCTTTTCTTGAGATAATGCAATAAAATAAAAGATTTTTAAATGGTCTATTTTTTATTCTGTCCAAATCTTTCAGCGCCACATGAAGTACAGCTGCCTCAAAGAATGATAAAACCTTCAGTCTTCTGTATAGAGAATGTTGATTACATTTATGGACTTCTCAAACAACTAATGCACTAAATATATATACAGTATACATATTTAAAACTCTACTTTGCTTCTCCATGACCATACAACGACATCCCATAATGTCTATATTATTGTTTCAATACATTTGAGACACACACACACACACACACACACAAAAAGAGGTCTAAATATTGGTCTTTTCTCATGAAGCATTACTCTTTTCAGTGTGCGGCATAAAATACAGGCTAAAACCACAGCTCCATGTTGTTTTGGTTCACTTTTACACATTTGCCATGAACAATTTGATCTACAAAAAGCAGCAACTTCTGCAGACGTCTCTGACTAAGCGCCTTAGCATCAAGTCCTCGTTTAAAAGTTTGAATAATTACTGGAACAGCTTTAGATAAGAGTAAAGCCACAATGTTCCAGTACAATCTCAATGTCCCTGTAAAGCCAAGACGTCTGCTAAAACTCAAGAAAAGGCTCAAGCATCACAAATCAGTGTGTGTATGTGGACTACGTTGTGTTGACTACATCTGGTGGCACGAGAAAGACGTCAGATGGTTTAGAGTTGTACTTTCACATTACACATTCAGTGCAAGACTCTAAAGGCAAGGTGTTTAATGTTTTTGCCCGTAGCTGTGTGTGTTTATTTGCAGTTAGCAAAATGTGTCATGAACCACTAAATGAATTTCTTGAAATTCTTAAACAGTAAATCATTCGTACAACTTGATTAACTTTTAGAGTCAACCCCCAAACTCAGCTAGCTTTAGATAATGAGAAACAAAAGCCCAGTTTCGTTCATTTATTCGTTATCAATACATCAAAGACACTCACCCATCTCCACATCTCTCGAACCTTCATTAGTGAAAGCTTTACACCATGTTGCCAAAGTGTGGATGGCCACAAAGTTTGGGTAAAACTCACAGTTGGGATTAGTGAGAACTCCTCTTAGTTTCGGTATCAGCTCAGTGGGTCGATCCTTATCAGAGAAAAATGTTTTTTTTTTTTTTTTTAATACAGATTGTGAAATAACAAGAAAACCCAAAATAATCTACAGGCACATACTTTATATGGACCGAGGAAAAGCCTTTGTGGATCATAATCGTTGGCGTGAATATTGTCCCAGATGACTGGTGCCCTCTTCAGGACAGAAGACACCTCCTCTATTGACTCAACAGAGATTTTGTGGGACACCACTTTTGGACCTAAAGACAGACAGATAATCTATAACAATGTGGTAAAGAAAGAAGTCTGATTATTTCAGGGAAGCCGAGTGACCTTACCTGTCCACAATATGTCGATACCAGGCAGGAGCTTCTCTCCCACAGTGTTTAAATAAGAAGACTGGGACACACTGGGAGTGCAAAATGCAGCACAGTAGTCTGGCGATACAGGACAGATCAGAAGTGATTACAATTTAGAAACAATATTTTTTTCAAATCTCTCTCTGATCTATAAAGGATAACCAATTTAACATTCACCTGAAAGATGCTGGAAAAGCCTCTTTGTTAAACAAAGACTCATGTACGTTATAATTTACCTTCGACAGGTTTTTGAAGTTTTGCAATTTTTGAAAACATGACATCTATTAGGCCAGTTGCTCAGTAAAAGTAGCACTCTTTTTAGCCAAACTTAAAAATACTGAATCCTTTGAATATTCACAAATAAGCATAAAAGGAGTAAAGGATGCTACTGTTACTTTGCTGAACATGTTTCTAAAAACACAAAGATGGAAATGAGGTTGTTTTATGATGCAAGTGTTGTACAATGTGAGTGCCTAATTTATGCGCCTCGCTTAAAAAAAAAAAAACTAATTTCCACATGAGTCCAAGTAAAGTAACCAAACATTTTAGATGACCGTCATTATATCTGCTCTTAACTTAACTCCAGTTAAGGAGTCAACTTAACTCTTAACTTAAGATCCAGTCCCCCGGCACAAACAGAGTAATATTGTGTTGTTCAGTGTCAGGAGGGCTGTGATCAGTCTTACATCGGGGAAACTAAACAGCCACTGGCCAAAAGGATGGACCAGCACAGAAGATCAACATCATCAGGCCAGGACTCTGCGGTCTACACATCTCCAGGCCAGCAGTCACTCTTTCAGGGATGAAGATGTTCACATCCTTGATAGAGAAGAACGATGGTTTGAGAGAGGAGTAAAGGAGGCCATCTTTGTGAAAAGAAAAGTCCATCATTAAACAGGGGTGGAGGCCTCCGGGTTCAACTGTCCCCCTCTTACAATGCTGTTATTGCTAGTATCACTCAGCCCCCTGTGAGTAGTAAACAGCCATCAGTGTGCTAATGATCCATCGTTAGGCTGATGGTCCTTCTTGATTATGTGAGCAGCTGGTTTGGTTGTCAGCAGCAAACTGGTTGATCCACTGCAAGAGGGTGCCATTTATAAGACTGAGCTGAATACAGCACCTCGGACTGAAGAAGTCTTTCGGATGAAAGACAAAACGTTTCTACAATTTTTTTTTTTTTTTTTGAATGTCCAGAGGACCAGATTTAACTTTTTTAGATTTTTCTACCTGGATTATTGAGCATGCATCAGGATATCTGAACTGTTTGTTTGTTTTACTGTTTATGTTCTGTTCAGTGTCACTGACCCGTGGGGCAGAAGAGGAAGGCCTCAGGTTTCCCCAGGTGCAGGTACACCTCATTGGTGACGGCCACTTGAGCATGGGCGAAGGAGCTGAAGGCCTGCTTATCCGCCGCACACATTTCTGTCTCAATGTCATCAAAGAGCAAAGAGAAGGCCCGGCAGCCGAACTGCTTCACCTGAAAAGCAACAAGAGGACCAATATATATTTAATGACATTTAACATGCACCAATGTTTGTTAGGGTAATTCCACCTGAAATCATACACATTATCTGCAGCAGCTCGGTGCTATCAGCTGAATCTAACCTTTCTGTTTTATTGCTCCGAGGTTTGTGATAAGGAATAAGATAAATCTTTAGAGAACCATAAAACTAAGCATCAGCAGTAACTAAATCATCTGCTGCCTCACCCTTCATCTCTTCTTCCAAAGTCCTACCTGATCCAGCTTCCTCTTCAGTGCAGCCACTTCTTTGGGGTTCGAAAACGTGATGTCCAGACCGGGAGAGATTGCATAAATGAACTCAATATTGTGCTGTTTAGCTGCTGAAATCAGGGCAATCAGTTGTTCTAAAACAAGAAGAGACAGAGAGGACATGCCGTTTATTTGTAGGTATATTCATTTAACCGTTATTTATACAGGTTAGTCTCATTGAGTCATGATGAACTTACAAGAGAGACCTGTTTTAAACAAAAGCCATAAATGAGGTACATACAACAATAAACATTCACATGACAGCATGAAAGTTATCAATAGCTTTGGACATTTACAGAAGAGTTATAAGCGTTTCATATTCATGGTGTCAGTTTTCGATGCAGATGTGCTTTCTAGATTGCACAAAACTTGGGACTGTGGGCTGGCCTAAACCCAAGTGACTAAAGAAGCCTTTTGGATCAGAGCTACAGTAAAGCCTCTTTAAAGGAAGTGACCTTTGAGCCAAGCACCACCTGATAGTTTCAATTGTTAAAACTAAACTACCAACAATGTCCATTAATCTGAGACACCACTGATAACATCTAGAGATGTGCTTTAATTAGTCTCTAAACCACCTCTACAGAGATTTTTTTTTTTTTTTTAATGGCTGATTCTGAAGTGATTCTCAGAGAAAATCTAAAATAAAATACAAAGGTTGCAAAAAAAAAAAAAACACAATTCTACTTTTGTTTTATTAACCACCAGGTGTCGTTTAAACAGCAACGAATATGTGTTTACTTTAATGTTAATAAAATCTTACAGAAAAGCTGATTGTCGAGTACTGGAGATATAAATCAAACGCTTACAGAAAAACCGTATAACTGGCTCATATAACTGCAGTTTATCATGTGATAATTGTGACAGGGCTAAAAACTGCAGGTATAAAAAGGACAGCATGGCAAATGGTTTATTTTACTGTGCACAGCCATGAATGAGGATCTGAAAACCAACATGGACTCAACATAAGGTGATGAGTATTTTACTTTTAGGTAATCAAATAGTGGGACCATAAAGCCAAAATGTTCTTTTATAAAAGCCATTTCATTATACAGAGCACCCATCTTTATAGAACGTGTAAACAGTGTGGTCAATCCACATCTAAAGCCACAGATCAGCATCTTTATGTGAAACTCACCTGCCTCCTCAAGAGAGTATAACTCTCTCCAATACGTCCTGTGTTTATAGTCATCTTTAGGAGCATACAGGTACGTGTTCAGACCCCACTTTTGCTCCCTGAGAAAAACAAATATGTTAGCGAGTAAAATTTGGAAATGTAACTGTGTGTGCCATCAGGAGACATCTGATCTGAACAAACACAGGAACCTTTAAGTTTACACCACTGCTCTCAGTAGTTTAAGACCAAAGTCAAGTTAATGTGTCAAGTTGTGCTACAAATGCTGTTTTTTTTTTGTTTTGTTTTTTTAAGCAGTCCATATTTTCTTTGTGTTTTGCTCCCAAGGTGCCAAATCTTCTTGTAATATTTTCATGTAATTTTTAACAGTAATTATACAGGCTTTTTTTGACTCAGTTATGTAGACACATTAGTTCATCCTGTGTTAAAAAGCCTTTTTATACCTGAATGGTTCATTGGTCAGAGTTTAGTGGCTTAACACAAAAATACTTCTGAAAGTCAGACATGGAAAAAAATAAAATAAAAAGCATCGAAGTCCAAAAGACTTAAAACACTCCCAGAGAGCCTAAAAACATCGACCACTTTAAGGAAGTCTTCCTCCTAAGAGAGAAATTAAACCATGTTGTGCAACAGTTTGTTCATGCTGCTGCAGCATTTTCTGGGTTTACCTTTTAAACAGCTCAGTTCTTTGTTCCATAGTCCATGGTCGCCCATAAAAACCTGCATCAAGCAAAGGTCAAATTTAGACTAAATTTTACCACAAATGAGCAAACTGTACAAGCTAACTACCGGAACCAGATTCAGAAGGTTGTAGTCCAGCAGGACCACCAGGGTCTGTGGTGGGCCTGATGACTTACCTTCCACCACTCCGCTAATGAAGCGTCCAATCCCCCGAGAGGACTGTGCCTCAACACGGTCTGCTGTCGACATATTTTCACTGTGAAATAAAACGCTCTCAGTTCTTCTGCTAACTTAAGTCCAGTTCCTGAACGCCACCCTTGTAATTTACTCACATTTTATTGCATTTGCTCTCGCACGCATGCGAAAAGAGGCTTTTAAAGCACCTAAATAATCTGCATTTGTAATCTAAAGATTAAAGCTGTAAACTTTCTGGATGAACAATAAAACCGGCTAATGTTTACCGTCCTGCCTGAGAGCACAGCTGCTTCTTCTGTGTTTTATTTACTGTGCATTTCTTCTTCGCGCGCAGCCTCATCATCACTGCGCTGTTGCAGCAGCGCCCTCAAGCGGCAAAAAGTAATAACAGCAACAGGAGATAGTGAGTAAACAAGTAAACAAAATTTAATGGTTTCCAAACTGTTTAAGAAAAATTCTGGTGTTACCACATTTAATTTTAAGGTACTCTAAAGGATATCTGTTTGTTGTAACCTATTGCTTCCATCTAGAATTTGAATGTATATTTAATTTAAATAAATCAGGAGTTTTTATAATTTTTTAAAAGCCAGTTTATACTTGTCAGTACCAGGAGCCCTTTAACAAATTATCAAACCTTGTTTTATTTTTTTTAGTTGTCTCCGCCCTAGTAACAATTTACTTACATTAAAAATTCACTCTCCTGCCATATAAAATAAATAAGTTATCATTAAATCTGGATAAAACCTATTACATGATACACAGAAACAGAAAAACAGATGTTCACGCTCCATTTTTGGTAGATGTAAATGAAATTTGCAGAGTTAGTGAGGTGCCATTTTTGGGTATTATTGATGAGAAATTAACATGGAAACCTCACATAAACAATTTGAGAACAAAAATATCTAAATCGATAGCAATTCTGTATAAAGTAAGAGAGTTATTCACTGATAAAGCAATGTTTATGTTGTATAATGCAATAAGTGTTCCTTATTTGGTTTATTGTATTGAAGTCTGGGGTAAAGCATGTAAAGCTATAACTAATACTTTGTTCCTTTTACAGAAAAGAGCTGTACGAATTATTATGAAAAAAAAAATAGATATCCATCGAATACTTTATTTTATTAACTGAAAATTCAGAAATTCTATGATTTGGTTAATTATAACATTTTGTTGCTTATGTATAGGGCACATAAAGGCATGTTGCCCGTTAATATTCAAACGAATTTTGTTAAAATTGCCCAGAGGCAGTTTGACATGTGACTGCTGGTGGATTCAAACCCCCAACTCCTGCATTGGAGGACAACTGCTCTAACCACTCAGCACAGCCGCCCACATAAAGAGTTAATGTTACTAGAAACTAGACACATAATATCAGGTTTGTCCTTTCTACTATCTATAAACTTTTTGAACTCCTGACCATTAGCAATTAGACTCCTTGCATTCCATTGAAGAATTGTTACTATGAACAGTCTATAGGTTCCTGGCTTGCCTGAACATCGAGTTCCCCCCTTCCCCCTTAAGTCCTACCATATCAAGATGATGCACTGCTGCCTTAATTATTTGTAACCTCTGTTTTGGATTTAACATCATAAGTAGCATTAATGACTCCAGCAATAAATGTAACCAATCTCTCTTTCCTCATCCCAAGTAGACTTCCCGTTTTCCTTACTTTCAGTTAATGTATGCGCTTTTCCTTTCTTTCCTCTCTCTCCAATTCCCTGAGTCACCCTTTTTACTGCTTCTGCATAAGTTACTTTTTCCTTAACTTTTGTTTGCTGCACAACAATCTCTCGAAGACTTCACACCCCCAATAGGCCACACTGTGATTTCCTGCGCAGTTACATTTTGGCTATACTCCCTCTCCACACTTACCATACTCGTGATCCCCACCACACCTAGCACACCACCTTATTCCTTTGCAGTATTTTGCCAAATGTCCAAATTCCTGACACTTGTAGCACCTCATCGGTTTAGGGATGTATTCTCTTACTCTAAACTTAACAAGTCCAAAAAAATAACTCCTCTGGGATCCTCTTGCTTGTAAACTCAATCAGTACTGATTCAGTGTTTTTCTCTACCCCTCTAGTCAACCTTTTTGCACTTTTAACCATCTCATCTCAAACTTGTAAATTTTATACAAGTCCTTCATTTCTATTTCCAAAGGTACACCTGAAATAACACCTCTACATCCCTGGGCTGCAGACCTTTCACCCACCTTTGCAACTTTATTCACTTTACATTACCAGTCAATTTCATTGCGTTTACAGCTTGTTCCTCACTACATCCAACTAACAAATTTCTGTCTCTGAGAATCCTAACATACTTCACTTCACTGACTTTTTCTCTAATAATTTTGGTAAGTTTCAACGGATTTTCTTTACCTCGTTCTCACCTTCAAACCATATCACAATATTTGGGATACTTGTGTTTTTATCCTCATCTACCTCTTCCTCACTGTTATCCCTACACTAGAATCTGCCTCTTCTTTCTCTTACACTGATTTGGCTGTTTCCTAACTTCTGTCCACTCATTTCCTCTACTTTCCCCCAATTAAACCAGTTTCCTCCCTGCTCTCATCATACTCCATATCACTACCCTCATCTCTCCCTGCCATTCTTAAAGGACAGGTAAAAAATGAGTGATGATTGCTGGTCCTGACCTATACAGGCCGTCAATCAACAATTTATCACTATTTCTCACCCGACCCAGTCCAACCAAGTCCAGAGAACACGTCCAAACATCCAGTCTAATGCCCCTTTTCCACTGTCACAGAGCGGATCAGATCAGTTCGGGTTGGTTCAGATCGGTTCGGGTCTGTTGTGTTTCCATGTACATTTCTGGACCAGCTCTGTAGGCGGGGACTAGAATCCAACTCGTCTTACCACCTGGTGGCGGTAGTGCTCCCTTAAGCTACTTACTAGCCACCACTAAACGTATTAGAAGAAGAACACCCTGAAGGTTTTGTCACACGATGTTGTGGAAAAGATGTCATGCTCTAATGGAGTACCTCATGAGCTGTAACTTTAGACCTGATTCATAATCCTACCTTACTGCCTTCCCTGCTGCTTTAAACCCATGTGTTTTTCATTTTAGTATAGATTTTTACAATAAAGATGTATTAAAAATATCTTCACTTTTATTATTTGCAGATATGCACAAGGTTCATGTTAAAATTGCAAAACATCACACTGTGCTGTAATCTTTGAAACTGCTTTTACAATAAGATACAGACTTGAAAACAATTAGATTAAATTTTGTCCTTGAATTTTAAAGATTTGTCTTTCATTAAATTAAAACATAAATTTATTACTTATTAATCTAAAAAAGTCTGGTCCTCTGGACATTCAAAAAACAAAACTAACAAAAAACATTTAGTTTATTTATTATGAACTGTATTGTTTGTTTTGTGAATGTCCAGAGGACCAGACTTAACTTTTTAGATTTTTCTACCTGGATTATTGAGCAGCATCAGGATATTAATTAATAAATAGTCAGTTGGTCTGTGAACACCATGGGATCCTAGAAGAGTTGAAGAGGAGGCTGTTCATGTCTGTGCCTCCCTGGTGAAGATGCTGCTCCCACAACCCTGAAGCAGAAGAGGATGGATGGATGGATGGATGGATGGCGAAGGAAGAGACCATCAAACAGCAGGAGTGGTCAGTTCAGGTGAACTCCTGCCTGTTTGCTTCAGATCAGCTGTTCAAATCTCTGCAGGTTCAAATAAAAGGTGCACCAGGACTTTCAGCTGAATCTCTCAGGCCACAGTTGTATGGCCAATAACTGATAACTGATGACTGATAATTGATAACTGATAACTGTCCTTTCTGAATTTTTGACTGTTTTTGTGTCACTTCATCCTAGAACCAAAAAATTATAACATAATAACAGTTGAGCAGATACTAGTAATCTTTTCTTAGGATCCATTAAAGATCAAATGCAATTGGAAATTCTTCTCAATTCCAGTATGAATTTAAACAAACACTATATGAACTTAACATTGTAAAATTTGTTTAGGAAATTTAATGTTCAAGGACACCACTTAAGAAAAAAATTGTTTAATAGGAAAAGTAAGAAGTGAAAAATGTACAAAAATAAAAACTACTGCGTCCAACTAATGATTGTGTCTGTCCCTTGTCTCACGGGCTTCATCCAGAAGAAGACACAAGTGTTGTTCCTGCTGTGTCCGCTTCAGTTCTTCATGTTCATTCAGTGATGGAATAAAACTTTTCTTTACTGGACTCTTTTCTCTTTCTCTTCACTAGAAAGAAGAAACAGGTGGTTAATTCAAGCTACATACTGTTTTTGAATAAATGCATGAAACAAAGAAAGGTGCTGCTAACAGCTATAATAGATATATTAATAATTATAAACTGATCAAATAAGAAAATGAAAAATAAATTGATTTAAAAATAATGAAAATGATAATAATGGATATATGAATCAGAAAGTATTATACAGATGCAGATATTCTTTGTCATTCGCACCACATGTGGTCCATGTGGTGGATGATCAAAATTATGTTCACAGGGTCCCAGTTACATCCAACAATAAAATATAAAAGAAAAACAGTAATAAGATCTAAGATATGAACTAATAAAAACATCAACTAAAAATATAAGCTCTAATAGCATAAAAACATTAAACACAATACGCAGAACAGCAGCACGGACATGAGTCTGTGTGAACAGACGAGCACGAATGAACACAGCAACATGAAACAGATCAGCAGCAACATGAAACAGATCAGCAGCAACATGAAACAGATCAGCAGCAACATGAAACTGATCAGCAGCAACATGAAACTGATCAGCAGCTACATGATGTGATTCTTCACAGTGTTATATATTCATGAGGCTGCACAAACTCAAGTTCATGTTGCTGTTTGACGTATTGTTTTGATTGTTTACTGCTATTAGTGCTTAGTGTTTTATTAGTAGATGTTTTTTAGTTGATATTTTTCTTAGTTCATATCTTAGATCTTATTACTGTTTTTATTTTACGTTTTGTTGTCTGTAACTGGGATCCTGCGTACATAATTTCATCCCAATTCAGTATTTATTCAACATTTTAGTTTTTTACTTTAAAAATAAAATAAATCAAGTCCTTATCGGCACAAATAAAGTGATGTGGAACATGTTGCATCTTACCGAGCACAGAAGCTGCAGCGTTGTGCTGCTCTGTGAGGTGCAGGTGGGCTGTGATGGAGACCTGTCAGGTGCAGACTCCTCTGATGGAGACCTGTCAGGTGTAGACTCCTCTGATGGAGCAGGAGCAGGAGCCGGGAGGCTTGGAGGTTTAATGTGGAGTTTAGAGATGAACCTTCACGCGCTGAAAGACGTTCTGGATAAAATACAGTGAGAAACGGGACCGGAGGACAGTTAGCATTTATGCAAATTAGCTTAGCATCGTAGCACCGACGTTGTACTATTATGGCGTCAGCCTCTTTTGTTAGTTAAAAATATGTTCAGAACCGATGGGATGAGTAATTTAAAATATGTTTAAAGTTAGAAAACACTCACCATCTTCTATAAATGGTTCAAGTAGAGCAGTAGTCGTGTCCAAACCACCCTCCAATCCTCCATCTAGCTCGCTTTGACTTTTTTCGTCGGCCACCAAGCACAACAACACCTGCACTTCTGCATTTGACCACGGCTTTGATATTATTGTTGTTGTATAGCTTCAAAATACTAAAATATACGCTCCTCATGTTATCGCTAATGGCAAGCGGTAGAGAAAAAAATGGTGGATGGGTTGTTTGGAAAGACTCCACAGACTCCTCCCCCCGACCAATCAGTGACCGACAGTGTTTCTGACGTCACGGCGCGGCTCGCTCGGAACCCTTGAGAAGCCGGGCCAGAATTTAGCGAGACGAGCCGGTTTCTGGAACAGTGGAAATACCTCCAACGCGCTTCAACCCGGAAATATCCGACCCGCGCCGTGACAGTGGAAAAGGGGCATAATTAGCAGTTCATCCTGTCAACTCCACTCCCAAAATTCCCCCTTTGGACAGCTCTTTGGTCGTAGCCATGTTAGTAGTTGGAGTCTTACCGATTGTGTGGGGTGGACAGGTGTATTTATGCAGCTAACGACCTCAAACAAGTGTTTCTAATTTAGAATAATAAGTGGAGGTGGACTTCTTCTTCTTCTTCTTCTTCTTTTATGTTTAATGGCGGTTGGCAAACAACTTATAGGTGCATTACCGCCACCTTCCAGACTGGAGTATAGATTAGATGTCCTATCATTATATTCTCCCCATAATGCCTGACATCTTGAGAAACCTAAAAATGCTGTTAAAAATTATATTTTCAGAAGATCTTTGCAGCAAATTTTTAACATCTAAATTGATTTTATTACTATTCATCTCTCTAATTAACAACTCTCTTTCCCGGCTGTATTTACTACATTCTAGAAGAATATGCTGCACCGTTTCTGACTCTCCACAAAAATTACACATACCTGTACTATGTTTATTAATTATTTTCAGCGTACTATTCAGCCCCGTATGCCCAAATCTTAGTCTAGATATAATATCCTCTTCTCTTCTATTTCCTTCCCTACATTCCCCTACTTTCCTTTGGATGCTATAATAAAATCTTGCCTTTTCTTCTCCATCCCATAATTCCTGCCATTTCTTTTTAAAATATATTTTACTTATACTTTTGATTTCATTTCTGCTTATTTTCATATTTACTTCAACCTTATCCCTTTTCGCTGCACTTTTAGCAAATTGATCCGCCAATTCATTTCCTATTATTCCAATATGAGCAGGAATCCAAATCAACTTTACCCTGGATCCAAACTCTTTGATTCTAAAAATTAATTGACCAATATTCAATATGATATCTTGTCTTGTATCTGAATTCTGCAGGTGGACTTTTTAGAGGCGGATTAACAGGTCTTTGAGGGCCAGAACTGTTGCTGATTGGCAGGTGTTCAAATACTTATTTGCAGCAGTAAGACACAAATAAATTATTTAAAAAAAAATCATACATTGTGATTTCTGGATTTTTTTAAAATTTATATTACGTCTCTCACAGTGGACATGCACCTAAGATGAAAATTTCAGACCCCTCCCATGATTTCTAAGTGGGAGAACTTGCTAAGTTGAAGGGTGTTCAAATACTTATTTTCCTCACTGTACATATAGTTTATCCTAAACAATGACGTCAGACCCTGAAAAAATTTTATCAAATGAGAATTTGATTTATATGATTGTTAATTTGACTTTTGCATTGCAACAACCACTTACCAGCAACAACAGAAGTAAAATGTCAGATAAACCTGACAAGGTCCACAAAAATCTGCACTGATTTGAGCTTCCATCTGCAGCAGCTTCAAGCAAATTTCTACAAACTGTGGCTGTTATTCAGGTGTATTTATTAGTTGGGTTTTTTTTTTTAGTTGTTTTTTGCAAATGAATCTTACAACAGCTTGCAAAAATAAATACACACAGATGAAGAAATACAAGCTACGTAGTAAACTTGAAAAAATTAATGCCCTTTTTGTGTAGTTTCAAAAAAGTGAAAACACAAATATCCTTTAATGGTATGAACAAAACTTATCAGTGCTCTGGAATGTAGCGTATGCAACCAAAAAAAAAATGTTCAAGTAAAAGAGTGCTACATAATTAAGATGTATCTTTACAAAAAAAAAAAAAAAAAAAAAGCAAGCTTATGACATAAGTGCTACAT